CACTGTAAATGATGTTTCGTCAAACGCTAATGGTCTGCGACTCAAGAAAGGAAGGGGTGGGGTGGTAAGGGTATTCAAAAATTGCCTAAAAATCTATCTTTAAATACGCTTTACATATAAAAACTTTTAAATTTGTAAGTTAATATATTTTTAAAGCAAAATCAATATTCCAATTTGATTTTTTAAATGTGTATTTGTAGATTCATAGCAAAGTGATCGACCCCCGTCTGAAAGACGTGCGGGATTGTGATTTATTGAGAAAGGGGGAGGGGTAATTTTCCGCTAATAAATCAAAACTGGTCGTACAAAAATTATACAAAAAATCAGGAAGATTATTTTTACAACCAGGTACCTAAAAAAGGTTTTTTTACCAAAATTAAACGACAGGTTTTTTCACAAAAAAAATTTGAATTTGGAAAATAAACAATTTTCAAGGCTTAGATAATTCATAGTTTTTCAGTTTAAGGTCTTTAAAAATTGTTTTAGTGATATGTATACAAATGAATATCAAAAAGATGACTATGTTTTTGTGTTAATTGGTTAAAGGAATAAGTCAATGAAATTTGAAATTTATTTCTAACCTGGCTTTTCGGAAAATCGAGGTTTAAGTAGTTCATTGATTAAAAATTTTCTCGCATTGTAAACAACTAAAGGGGGGTAAATTTTGGAATTTCTAGTCCAAAAACCACTAGAACGATTTTGTGCAAAATGTGCATACATGCAGTAGATATAGTCATGTAGTAAATATACAAAAATAACGAAAATTAAACGACAGGAATTTTGGAGGTAGGTGTGTTGTACATCCTTAAATCGAGGAAATTTCTCGATTGCTTCGTCGGCCATCTTGTAGAATAGACAATAATGTGTAAAATGGGACCTTTATCTGACGGCGTTGCACGTGCAAATATGCAATTTCTTTCTATCACGTGATTGCTATCGGTCTCTACCTTAAAGCTTAAGAATATAATTTATATCTTAAAAATGCATACGCAAGATAGTGATCTGTTGATCTTTTCACCAAAAACATCTGACTGCTATGATTAAATTTTGACAACTCTAAGACCTCTATGTAAAAAAGAGATTGTTTTATGAATTACTATTTGCAACATATAACAATGTTAACGTAAAACTTCATTTTGAGAATTTAAGGAACATATTTTAGCCGTCGACATTTTTGATGGAAGGTTCACTGATTTTTATTAATTAATTTATTTCTATTTTATTTATTTATTTTTTTTTTTGGGGGGGGGGGTATTAAGGTGGAATATCCCTCTGATAAAGAGATAACTCTACTGTTACGTGAGATAACTTTCTTCAGACATTTTGTCATGAAATTCAGTGAATTGTCATGTCAGAGTTTACAGGTTTCATTCATACGAACTTTTCTACCGTCAACTCAATCAAACCTGTCTTACTGTACAAATGTTGATTTCTAGTTTCTATTGCTAGTATATTTATTAATTATTTATAATAGTTAACATAAAACATTTATACTCAGTTCCTTTAAACAGTGTAAATTGAGAAATATCTATCTCTTAAAGTAATAATTCTAAAAATTGTAGAGAAATTTAAGATGCAGTTTTGTTTATTTAAGGAATGACTCTAATTCTTGGCCAAATTATCGAGTATAATATGGTTTGGGTCAGTTTACGCTTTATAATCCGCGAAGCGGATTATAAAAAAGGGGTGTGTCCCCATACCAAACCAGATTATACAAAATGTTATGCGTTCCTTTTTGGAAATCAACCAATGAGAGGCAAGAATACAAGCAAAATTAAATTATAAACATTTAATTAATATTTTGTTACATTAAAAAATATTTTCAAGGGCAATAATGGAACGATTACTCTTGTTTGTGGATGCGTGTTATTTTACATGAACAGAAAACAATTTGTTATTCTGATTTAAAAAAGCAGCGCTTCACTATGTTTTCTAATGGGAATTAGATAGGTATGAGAGTAAATATTACGTTTATATAAACCTTATATTTCTAATTTAATTGTGAGGTAAAAAATAATTAATCTTTCTATTTACCATATCAAATTTTCTTCACATCATGATTTGACATATTATTCATTTCTGTAAAAGTAAGCAACGCTCCATACTTCAAACTATTTTCCATTTGAATTTAATGCTATAGTTGCTGCTGAAAATCAATGTCTGGCCATGGATTAAAAAAAAGTCGTGAAATTTGAAGCAGAGGGATATTGCCCCTTAATAAAAGAATGATTGACATATCTTAAAATTTGAATAATGAATATAACGCAGCACGGCTAAGGCCTACTATGAGAAATCATTGGAAAATAGACGTGCAAAAAGGATTTTTTAAAAACTGAATTTATTTTAATTAAGCTGTTTTATTATCACAGAACTTAAATACTTATGGAAATAGCATAGTATAACCTACTCTGTACTGTATGAAGTTTGGTCCCATCGATGAACAGTCACGTGTTGAATGCATAGTTCGTATAATGAATGTAGGTCATTAACAAATTTCAATATCGCAAAGGCATAGCCTAGTTAAAATTAAAAATTCACGCTATTAATTGTTTCTGCATATTTCGTGGTTTCTGAAAAAATGCTGCTGCTTTGAATAGAATTCCCGTTTTAATAGTTAAATTTTCAGCTAAATAAGCCAATGTCGAAATATGTTTGACTTTTACCAAATATTTTGTGTACTTATAAAATCACGCCCTCAATTTAAAGAAAGCAGCAGCACTTTTCAAGTTAAAAAAAAATGTCCTTTATCTATATTCAAAAAATGGTTAAGATCTATTCAGTGTATGTCCTTGCGAATGTACAATTTTATGAGGCATCTCGATGTAAAATATACGTAACTTGTGCAAAACACACGACATAATTCATAAAATGCATTCTCTTGATAGTTAATGAATAATCGCACTAAACAAGGGATATACATTGGTATTAATCGACTATTTAAAACCTGTAAATAATATTCCGTTTTTCATTGTTAAAAATTCCTCAATCTGCCTCTCACAGCACATGAAATACATCATTTTCACCAAAATGACGTCATGTTTACAAGTTCATCGCGATCAGTGCTTTGTTCATAATCAGCTACATGGGATTTAACTAGCAATTTTTTTTTTTAGATGCATTGATAAGCTTTATTGTTGTTTATTATGCTAATACAGTTACAAATTGCAAATTATTTTATTTTCAGGTATTATGAGAAATACATAAAAGTCATATTTTTGTGTGACGTCACAGTAAACTTTTCCCGTATAAATTAGGCCCTGTCCCCTTTTTCAACGCAGTACAGTTAAGGCAACATTTTCTATAAAAACTCACGGAATCCGATACATATAATGTTTAACAGTTTTATTTTTTAGCAAGACACTCTAGTTAAAACAGGTATTTGTGATCTTGAAGAGTATGTCCATCGCTTTTCACATCGGTATTTTTTGACATCATATTCATGTGACCCCCTGAAGTCACGTGGGCTCCGATTTTAGGTCAAAAAAATGAAATGTCAAATTTAACCAAAAAGTGCAAGGGCAAGACAAACAAAAAATTAACTGCACAATGTTTTATGTTGTCTCTATATATCTATACTTTCTCAAAAGTGATGCTCATTCAGTTAGTTTTCCGATATAATTAAGTTATTCAGCTAAAACAGACAGTAATGTATGAAAAATAGGATATTTTCCTAATTTCATCACGAATTATAAATTAACTAAAGAATTACAAAGTAATGAGCATCACTTTTTGAAAACTATACAATAAAATAAATAATTTAAAATAAAAACCTACTTTTTAGATTGTCGCCTTGCCCTTGCACTTTTTGATTAAAAAATGAAATCTTGGAAAAGTCAATCTAATTATAGTTTTCAAACGCATCACTGACCCAGCATGGGAGATAACTCTGGAGTACTTGATATAGCTTGTTTACCTCGTAATTTTAAAATGAATATACATGCGGGCAGGACTTGACTCTTTTTCTTTACTAAATCAAACGGTATGCATAAAAATCCTTGACATTTCTTTCTTTTCTGTGTATTCGTTCTCCATACGTTGTATACATTTAATGTCTTTCAAACCTCCCGCATTTCTTCAACGATGTGTATATACACGTAGTATTTCACACAAATAGGTATAAATATTGCCGATATATTTATGTAGAACACAAATGGTTAATTAAAATATAGCCTTCATTAATAATTAATTAGATAACTATTCCCCTCTCTCACTACTGTACGCATAGGCGTCGAAACCGGGAGGAGGGGGGGGGGGGGCTTAGCCTCCCTACTTAATATTTGCAAATTATATACATAAGGTAGGCATTGGAATTTGCCTTTTTCTTTTGGCTTAAGCCCCCCCCCCTTCAATCAGCCCCCTTTCATTTTGCTTCCGACGCCTATGGTACACACACTTGTGTTAATATTTTTTTTTCTTTCTGCATACGAGGTCATGTTCTACGATCGCTTTCAATCAGGCTGCTTACTGTTAATTAAGGGATATAAACTAAGTTATAAGTTTAAGGTACTAATTAGAAAGACTTGGGGTATACTCCTGTATTTGTTAAGGGGACAGCTATTTTATTTTGAGGGTGAGGGACTGGCAGATTTTAAAAATAAATACTTGCAGATCAGTGATCTCCCCCTCCCACGAATCAGAGTTTTTTTTATATTTTTTTTGGCATGTAGGATTTTCAATGAAGAGGAAAATAAATTAATAATCTGTCCTTCATCTTATTGATCGGAAATAAATATTAATCTGTCCTTCATTGACATGAAAATGAAAAAAAAAATCTGACTTGGAAAAACTCGCCTGCCCCCCCCCCCCTTCCCTCAGAACAAATGGTGGTCCCCTATCCTATTTTGAAACAATTAGGGGGATCTCTTAGTCTCCTGTTTTTGGTAATATTTTTGAAAGATAAATGAACACAATGCACATGCTGGAAATAAGATCTTGATGATCATTAGTACCCTCCTTACAAAATAGTAATAAAGTTAAGATTTTCATATCTTAATGGCCTTTTCAACACCTGTACAGTTAATATATGAAAAAGTCAAATTATTATTTATCTAGAAAATTTATTTAATAAACATTTCTTTTCAAATCCAATGACAGACAGTAGGAATGCTGGGCAGGTGCAAATTATTTCCATCACCTCATGTTCTTGTGGATAAAATGAATTCTGAAAATAGGAGAAAATCAGGAAATACCATTATTGAAAGTAATTTGTGTTTAAAAAATTTAATAAAAAAATGCATGGAAACATGTAACATAGAATTTACATACATGTGTAATGTGAAGCGGTCACCCATCCAAGGGTTAAACAGGCTCGCCGTTGCTTAACTTGCCTGAAATAGAGGGAGACTCTACCGCATCACCAGAAAAGCTAGCTCACTGGCGAGGCAGTATAAGTTCCCTATATACTATCCGCTACACATGTTTTCAATTCTTCTGTTAGTTTTATTATCAAAACTTTGCATGGTTTATAGCTTATATTGAGCATACCATTTTCCTTAAATGATGGATTAACTTGCTGCCTGAATGAATCCATTTTCCAACATCTGGGAATAGCTAGGCCTACAACACAATATATATGCAGTTATATGCTATGAGATTACTAAATATACACTGTAGGATAAAATGGCATTACATTTGACATAACAAATTATGCTACATTGTATATTGTAGTGAATTTATGTTATTGATATAAATGAAAAAAATAAAATAAATTACAAAACATCTCTGGGAAAGTGAAACCTCTGACATTCACAATAGTTATTGATAGAATATTTTCTATAAAAAAATTTCTAAGTTTCCCCTTTACCAAAATGAAAAAAAAAACAATATGTAAAGCACATGCAAACTTTGAAAATGTGAAATGCTTTAGAAGTATACATACCCTGTGGAGAAATGATGCATTTTTTATTTATTCACTCTTTATGCCTGAAACTCTGGACAGCTACAATGATAAAAGTATTATACAAATATTTTTAATGTACATGTAATCTAAACAAAAAATGAATTTTTTTTTCATTAATTTAGAAATTCTAGAAAATTACAACCATTGATCTGAAGTGGGGCTTTTATGTTTTCAACACAATGTTACGGATATTTTTTTTAATTGTGTAGCATATTTGCAGGGGTGGGACGATATACCGATACACCGATACATATCGATATTTTCCTCCAAGATACGGTTTACGATACAAGCATTCACATATCGGTACGAAACGATACACGAACGACCTATCCAAAAATTGAAAATGAAAGTACCTGTCCTTGGAAAATGGCGGCTTGTACGAGCAAAGAGATGATGTTGATATTAAAAACAGACTTTAGAACTAATAAGTCGTTGGTCAGGGGTAAAATGTTTTGACTTTTAAGCAGCCTTGGAAGATTAGTCGGAAGATTTGACACGAAAAGTTCAGTATGTAATGCGTGCTATACACAGAAAATATCGTTTCCAAAACATTTGATATTATTAATTGTAAGTCCATCTTGTACTTTTTTTTGTAATCTCAACTTGGCTAAAGACTTTCAGCAATGATCATGAATTAATAAAAATGTAAATGTTATCGATGTTTTTTAAATGAATTTTTAGTCAGTGTTCTCTGATAAACTACACAACTATTTGTAAATGTGACAGACTCATGTTTTTATATATTGTGCACATGTGCATAGCAATGCACATTGCAAGTGCATTTATTCATTAATTTAATTATGTACATGTTTTTACTTGCAGCACACTTCTACAGATGAATTATATAATTATTCATTTAATCTGTAGTTAAGTGTATTGATTTTTAAATAATTCTTTTCCAGAGAGGTCCAGAGTTAGCCTCAGGGTGCTAATTATATTCTGGCCATGATCATTTTGTATCTTTTAGTTTCATTGGTTTTTTAGTATTGTCTTATGCTTTTCTATTGGTTTTTGTGTTTCCCTCCAAGTTTTCTTTGTGTTTTTGGTTAATTTCTTGCTTGGTCTTAGAAGGTGATGGAAGTGTAGTTTGGTCAGTTTTCATATCAGCCATTTGACATTGAGACATACATTTCCTCTTGCATGGTAAGTAATTCTTTCATACTAATAAGTAATATGATTCTAATGTTATTAAATGTGAAATCTGTAATTTTTGCACTTAATTCTTTAAATCACTTTTTCTGGAGTAAATGTTTAGTGAGAGTGAGACTTTAGATATAGATTCATGTGTTAATAGTAAATACATTGCTGTCTCACTTTTTCATATTTTTAAAGTAAACTTTATTTTATGATTAGTATAAATATCTACAAAGGTGTTTATTGTTGGATTTGTAGATATTGAGATATTGCTGTCTTGTGTATGCAGCTTATATGCTGTACGTTGTACAGTATATGACCCATTCCCATTGAATGGTATGCGTGTTAATTGTTATTTATGCCGAACAATAATTCATTATATACATATACATTGGAATGATAATTATTGTAAAGATTTTATTGTTAATATTCATTGATTAAAGAAGTGGGAGATTTTATTGTGTAATTTTCATATAATTGAATTATCTCCCTTGGATTTTGATAAAGCTATATAATATATTGATTGTACATGTATATTGATTAATAGCTTTATAGTTTTTATGCTCAACATTTATAATATGTTATTTCATTATAGGGTTTTGATGATTATTGATCCATCGAATAAAGAGTTTATCGTCTTGTCAAAAACTCGAACCAACAGCCTTGTTGTTATTTAACATCCGACACCAGTCATACCACACAAGTCTGTTACATTTTGGCGCCCATGTAGGGACAAGACGCAATTCTACTCTTCGATGGATTAGACGTAGACTCAGGACGTCCAGGATTACGGATATGACAGAAAGCCTGCAGGCCGAGGTTGATCTGGTGAGCTTAGACTGTTAAGTTTCATATAAACATATACGCTTTGAGCCTAGACGATATCGTGCAGTAGTGACTGTGTATTCCATAGACTTATCTGCGATTCCTTCTGGATTCCGGACCGTTCCATCTATGGACCATTCTAGTGCAGTATATTAGTAGTGTATATATGTACATGTAAATATTATAAGTATGTAATCATAAGATCAGCTGATTGGTGAGTGAAGGTATTTTTTTTTTTTTTTTGTGTTAAAAGCCGGCCTAGACATTGTCTGTCTGTCTTAATTTTTTTGTTCTTTATTTTTTTTTTACTTTTGGGTACCCCATCTCATATTTCAGTGTTTATTTTTATTTGAGTACTCCTAAAATTATTTAGAATTTTGATTATTTGACAGCTTATTTAAATTTGTAATCATTTAAACTTCATTTCACATTTTCATTAATTGGTAAGAAAGTGTAGCGTAAAAGTATCCTATTTCTATATAGCACATTACCTACCCTTAAGCCCTTTGTTTCCAGCTATTACTACTTAAATAACAGATATGTAGTTAATTAATTCATCTGTCTTACTTTTGACCAAAAGACTGTAGACTGATAAGACACAGATATTTAACAACAGGTGTTGAGTTTTACAGTGGTAGTTGAAGTGGTAGTGTTGTATTGGTTTGTTGTTTGAGTAAAACATTGGTGTCAGTTGATTGAAGTTGGGTTAAAGTGTGTTATTTTACTTGCATAGTTGTGTAAAGTAGCATAGTTAAGCAGTTCAAATTAATACTATCTATTTTCAGAGTATTTCATTTGCATACTTGCCACATTATTTTCAGCTTTCAGAAACCATGCCGTTTTGTTGACATTTTTTTCAGATCGGGTTCGTTTTTCGTTTGACTACTTCCGTTTCCACAGTTAACTGTTCGGGTTCGGTTTATTTTCGTTTACCGATCGAGCTCGATATTTCGTTAATACAGTACCGGAAACTACAAATGTAAACGCGTTTTTGACAAAGTTTATCGAAGTTTGTTGTTCTTGTGTTTATTTCTTTAGAATATTTGAATATTTCACTTGAAATTTGTATTTATTGAAACATCATTGAATGCCTTTTTGCCCTGATTTATTTTACAGCGGATTATACAGGTAAATTTTGGTATTTATTTGACTTGTAAATTTTGTTTGTTGAACAGCTGATTTCACAACTTGAAAACTTTGGTGCATAGTTTATTAATTACCGGAAGTGCAAGGTACTACCGGATGTGCATTTCTACTTTCGTTTTCCCTTGTTTATAAGTTCTATTTAGAGCTTACCCTCCTAAGTAATTCTGATTCATTTGATTTTCAGCACTGAATTTATAAATTGATTTGATAGCCCATATTTTGATACTTTCACATTGAACTACCCTCCTTATTATTAGATTACAAAGAAGTAGATTTATTTGCCCAACATTTGCCCTGTGTTTTACTTAGTCTTCAGAGAGACTACCCACCTGCTATCCTGAATTTTGTGCATGAATTATTATCTTTTGTATATTTTTATATCATTGTGGTTCAACACAACAATCATGTCTACGGACAAAAAGTCTACAGCAGAACATGAAGAAGGAGCAACTGCAGGAACGTTCATGTCGAAGGAAGAGAGAGAGCAGTTGATGAAAACCCTGGAAGCTATGAACCTGAAGCCAAAGGCTGATACACCTGCGGATCTACTTGGTTGGATGTCAGATGTAGTCGCAGTTGGTAAAGAATCAGGAGCTATACCCAAGACGCCCAAAACACCGATCAAGCCAGAACCTTTTTCACCTTTCTCCAACACAACAATGGACTTTACGACTCCATTCAAGCATCCTGTGCGGATTGCCATGTTTTCCGGAGGAAAGAGTGACTCTTCATATGAACTATGGCGTTACGAGGTTACTTGTTTAAGTAAAGAAGGATATTCCAAGGATACCATCATGAACGCTATAAGGAGATCTCTAAAAGGTGAACCAGCAAATGTGTTGATGAGGTTAGGCCCAGTCAGCACCACTGAGGAAATTCTGCAGAAGTTTGACAGCATATATGGGAATGTGCTCGGTACTGAAGATATTCTAGCAGAATTTTACAGCGCCAAACAGAAATCTGATGAGGATTGCGCAGCATGGAGTGTTCGACTGGAGGAACTTCTTAACCAGGCTGTTAAGAAAGGAAAGATTTCCCCAGCAAATGCCAATGACATGTTGAGGACTATGTTTTATAAAGGTCTGCGTCAGGAATTGAAAGACATTTCAGGACATATCTTTCAGATTACTCCAGACTTTGATAAACTTAGAGTAGCTATCAGGAAGATCGAGATGGACCATCAACCTGGCATTACAGTGAAATCTAAGCAGGTTACAGCCAAATCAGCACAGTCCACCACTGATGAGAGGTTTGGTCAGTTACAAGCACAAATTCAGCAACTATCGACACAGATACAGCAGATAGCTAAACCCCAGTACCATAATCAACCTCCTCAGTATTATCAGTATGGGCCCAGACCATCATTTCAGAGAGGAAGAGGAAACTTTCATCAGTACAAAAGAAGACCACAGTATGCTGAGATGCCTACTCCTCCTGAGGTAATGAGTGATCCAGCCCCAGCAACAAGAGATCAACAAAAAGGTAAGATTGTTTGTTTCAGATGTCATCAAGAAGGTCATCTAGCGATTGGATGTAGAGTCAAGTTGGATCATCAGAGGAAACAAGGTCATTTAAACTCCAACAGGCCAAATCCTGGGGTCGAGGATCAGGCCAGATCAAAGGGAGACCCAGCGACAAGGAAGCAATAGTTGGAATATCGAATGAGGTGAACATTGAGATTGAGCAGGTCACTTGCCCAGCGCTCATTGACACAGGTGCTACAGTGTCCACCATAAGTTCAGACTTTTATGACCAGTATTTATCTCATATTGAGATTCATCCTCTTGATGAAATACTGCATATTGAATGTGCAGATGGACAACATATGCCCTACTCAGGCTATATATCTGCTAGCATTAAGCCTTATGGTACACCTCATGATGTCTTGAATGATTGCTTGTTTTTAATTGTACCTAACAGCAACTATAATGCTAGAGTACCCGTTCTCATTGGTACCAACATTATTAGTCGTCTCATAGATATTACCCGAGATGAGTTCGGATCGAGATATCTTCAAGATGCTCAATTACAGACTTCATGGTATTTAGCTTTCAAGTGTATGACCTTGAGGCAGAGA